GCACAACCCAGGGGGCGCCATTGTAGACCGTGTGAGTGGCCCCATCCTGGGGTGTTGCACCGCCTGTTTCGGTCTGCACAGCCGCCCTGGGGCTGGGGCTCCTGGATGTGCGCTGAGACTGACACTGGGGGACTGCTCTGTTCCCAGAGGCAGGGGAATGTTTGAAGACCCGACCCGACCTGGGAAGCGGCAGCAGCTGGGGCAGGAGCTGAAGGAGCTGATGAGCACGGAGCAGGCCTTGGACCAGCTCATCCAGACCTGCTCTCTGAACTTCAAGCACCTGACCGAGGACAAGGCCAACAAGAGATATCCTGTTTGGTGGGGGGAAGAGGTCAGGGAGCAGGGCCTTATCGGAGTTGAGGCAGCACCTCCCTGCAAGGCCTAATTCAGCCTCGGGGGCTGGCGTATCTGTTTCTTCCTTCTTTTAGGCCTGTCCTCACGAGCCTATCGAAGTTACTCTCCTTATAAAAGTAAGTCCAGTTCCTTAAATCTGGAAAATGGAGAAAAGAACTAGGTGCCCCCTTCATGTAGCCATTGTTTCTTAACTATACGTACACAAGGGCACGGGTTATTAAATGTAGTGTGTGCCTGATATACATAATTTTAAAAATATTTTTTTAACATTTATTTATTTTCAAGAGACAGAGTGCGAGTGGGGGAGGGGCAGAGAGAGAGGGAGACACAGAATCCCAGGCAAGCTCCGGGCTCTGAGCCGTCAGCACAGAGCCCGATGTGGGGCTCGAACCCACCAACAGCGAGATCATGACCTGAGCTGAAGTTGGGCACCTAACTGACCTAGCCACCCAGGCGCCCCTACATAACTTTTTTTTTAAAGTATTTATTTTTGAGAGGGGCAGAGAGAGAGGGAAAGAGAGAGAGAGAATCCTAAGCAGGCTCCATACAGCCAGCAAGGAGCCCAATGTGGGGCTCAAACTCACGAATCGCAAGATCATGACCTGAGCTGAAGTCTGACACTTAACTGACTGAACCACCCAGGTGCCCCATATGTAACATTTTATATCCTGCTTTCTATCACCATAGACTGTTTTTATGTTGTTACAAATCCTTCCTAACTATTTGCTTGATCCATGAACTTGTTACTATTGGACCATTTTCTGCAAAACAGCAGTCTCATAGGATTTAACCTCCTGTTCAGGATGATTTGAGAATGTCCTACTCAGACCACATTCTGGTTTGTTAAGGCCTAGAGTCAACACTTAGATTGATTTGAGATTTCTGCTTTTATAAAGCAGCATTGTGATGAATATTTTTGTATAGAGAACATTTTCCTATATTTTTTACTTCTTTCCTTAGGTTGGATTCCTAGGACTGACACTATAAGCATGGGCTTTGCTAAGGCTTTTCATACACTTTTCCCAGTCAGATGGTTCTGCCATCTAATTGGTCTTTGGATCTGACTTTGTGTTTTTGGAAGGATTCTAGGCATTGTGAGAAACATAAAGAAATAAGACGGAGCCCTCCTGTCTCAGAGCTAATGATACAGTCTGAGATGAAGTCGTTACATAAAAAACCGTTATGAGGCAGCATTAAGAAATGATTTATACTCCTGTTTGTTTTCAAAAGGGATGCGGGGTAGCCTATGATAGTAGAAGAACAGGTTATGGTGTTTGGTTATTTCTAAGGTGTAGACGGACTGAGAAAGAGATGTCCAGAGGCTTAGGCTGGCAGGCCGGGGGTTTGAATTGTGACCAGCTACTTCTCTTGACTCTCCTGCCCCTACACTGGCCTATGTGACTTACCAGGACATCCGTGCTGTTGGAAGCTTCAAGGAGCAGACAGTGATCGTTGTCAAGGCCCCTCCTCAGACAAGACTGGAAGTGCCCGACAGGAGCGAGGTGAGAGGGAAGCATTTGGTGGAGAGCAGGGTTAGGAGGGTCCCAGGCTGCTCTGTACGCTCTGTCCCTGGTGCTGCCTGACCCCAAGCTTCCCAGGTCTGTTCTGGTACCCATTACAAGATCAGTGGTCCCCGAGCTGGGGGCAGAAATGGCAGAAGCTGGAAAGGGCAACAGGCATCAGATGCTGGCCCGAGAAAATCTCCGTTCCTGGTCTCTTTCTGCATCCCACGGCCCCCAACATTTCTGGGCATACGCACACATGTGCCCATACACCGTGGTATTAGCGCTCATAGTAATCCCTTCCTGCTAACTGTGTCTGGCGAGGTTAAAGACCAGAAATTCTTAAATTTTTTTTTTTCAACATTTATTTATTTTTGGGACA